TAAAGAAATAATCGATTCGCCTGGAAAAGATTCGCCAGGTATAGAAACATAGTTCCGCCCCGCTAATTCTCAGAAATTGAGAATCTTTTTTCTAGTCGTAGAGCATCGCGTGAAATGAACCAGCGGTAATTCACGGTGAAACCGCAAGGAACGAAGAAAGTGGAAAAAGATGAGCATTGTCGCACCACCAGGTGAAGCACCTGGTGAGTTCAAAATCGCGCCGAATTTAAAAGCTCACCGCGCTCTCGAGATGATTCTTCTCCGTCATCACTTCGATCTCTTCGTAACGATTGTCATTCTCGATCCGATAATTGATGAAGAAGTAGTCGATCGAGCCCCAAAAGATGTTCGGCCTGGCCCATTGGATGTAGACGGAGTCGTGGGTAGGACAAGTGACGTTCAAGATCAACGGAGCGCTCGGCCCTGAAATATCTGTCCGACGAATGATGTGCTCCGAAGGCTCGCCCTCGTTCTTCCACGTGTAAGCTTTTACCCATATCTCGTACTCGGTGTACGGTTCTGAAAGAGGATTATCGATTAGCCGATTCGATATCGTGGTCTGTAATCAAGTACTTTTACAGCGGGACAATTTTACAAGTAAACAGGGAAGATCATTTTTCTTTCTTTTTCTTTTCTTTTCTTTTTTTTTTTTTTTTTTTTTTTTTTTTTTTTTTTTTTTGCAACAGAAGAAAACAGATATTTAAACGTACAAACAGAAGTTAAATTCGACATTTAATGTCGTTCGATTGAACGTTTGGATAGAATCTGATATTTAATATACATTACAGTCGTTCTCTACGCGTATTTCGCGAACTATCGAACGATTGTGGATGGAGAGCAAAGGACAAACGAGAGTTTAGTTTCGATCGATTCGCAAAATATATTGCGACGAACGTAAGTTTTATCTCGCGAGTAAGATCGAATTTGTGCTTCATCGCACGATACCAAGCCCAGATACCAACGTATTATCTAACGATACATTCACCTGCAGTCATCGAGCACGTAACTCAGCGCAATGATAAGAGTTCCGGTTTATCGTCGAGCTACGCATACTGACGTCTCCTATTCCTTTAACCCGAACGACAATTCTCGAAACGGACGTTATCAGGATTGTTTGTTTCATTCCTGGGCCTAGCCCCTCGGTACAGAGAAGAAAGGAGGAACGGTCGACGAAAGAATTTAAATTTAACCTGTTCAATTTTTCGACCAACGAATACTCACCCAATTCCTTTAAAACGAATTCGATAATTGGCCCGTCGTACTCGTCCGTTCTGTACATTTGGACGTCGGTGTAATTGGAATGCATGTAGTAAATACGATAACCGGAAATGATCCCATTGGCGTAGTCAGGCTCGGCCCAGGACAACTCGATGGTGGTGGAGGTGATGCCGTGAGACGATAGGTTTAACGGTTTCGTTGGCACTGAAAACGAAAAACGAAAAAAACTTCAACAATGTTACAGCGTACATATCGACTGCTCGACTCTCGTATGCGAGATTCTTCGTTATTTCGTCGAGATGTGTTTCCGCGAGAAATAAACGTGGAAGAAAGTTTCGATCGTTGAAAACAAGGATTTGGTCGTACTGGCGAGGCGAAGCATCGCTCCGTAAACTATTTTTCGGTCGATGCACTCGTCGCCGTGTCAGTTTTTCCTTCCTTCCTTTTCGTCGGCCGCTTATCATCTTCCAAGGTGGCTTTCCAATTTTCAGCGCACAAAGACAAGAGCCGAGGTTGCCACGGCCGAAGTCTGAATAATTAATTTCGCCTCGAGTGTCTTCTCAGACCCCCTCGCGCCGTGACGAGTAACTCTATAGACACCATTCACTTTTCGTACAGAGAGAAGCCACAACTTCTAAGATGGTGGCTTTGCTTTCATCCTCTCTCTAAAACCTAAGTACCGTATAACTGGTCGGCGGAGAAACGATTGAAGCGGATCGAATTTTATCGCGTCGCTTTCATCGTTTCGATCCACCTTCCACGAGCGAAACATCTGCTCGCTTTAGGGGAAAAAGGGATAGGGACGAAACGGAATACACGCGAAACGATGCGCTTCGTCTGCACGGCTTCGCGATTGAATTACGCCAAGGTTTTAACGATGACGAATGATGCGAACGGCGCGGACGCGAAACGTGGCAAGTACAAACGATTTTCCATCACCGATTTTCTTCTCCTCTCTGTTCGAAACGAACACAGATCGGATATAGCGGAGATTCGCAAAATCGGGACAAGTGTGTTTGCTTCGTTGAAATTTCCGCTCGCCGCCCGTACATATATTTTATTTGAAACGATGCATCGGGCGAATCGATATTCTACGTGCACGAAACGGAGTTCGGTAATTACAGCCATACCCTTCGGTGCTTCTCTGTAACGCAATACTCCTACGCATCAACGGCACGTTAGTCGCGTGAACGTGTACATTCGAGCGATTTGTGAACGGATGATTGGATCGACTAATATTACACGGGGATTTGCCTTCTCGAAAGCGATAAAGATAATATCTTAAAAACGGGAGAGGGAATTGAAATTAAAGGCCAGATGCGAGAGACAAACGATTATGAGGTGATTTGGAATCAGAGCGATTCCAAAATTTCCATATTCACCCGATAACCTAACGAGGGAAATAAAGAATTACGAACGCGCCATTTATATTCTCGACACGATCATTCGAATGATTGAAAAGGATTGGAAAAGAGCGTATCCACGCGACTTGTCGCATTTCGCGCTCGATCCCCTTGCAGATTCGCGCCTTTTTCCACGATTTTTCCGTGACGTTTCGTCGCAAAAGAGTCTCGCGACGCGTCTCGTTTCACGCAAGCTTCTACCCTCGAGCCCGGCTTTTCTTCGCCGCTGAAAAAAACCAAGCTCGAGCAAGAGAACCAGGCTCCCTTTCCATTCGCATTCACGTCGCGTTCGTGCGGGGGGGACGTGCGCGACAATCTTTAGAATTCGCGTCCGAATCGCGATAAAGAATTATACACGCGGCTTCTAAAAAAATTGTACGCGAACGAGGCGAGATTCGAAGCGAATCGGGCTTAAGGAAAATTAACCAAAGGAGAGAGAAGAAAAATCCGGCCGATTGCTCCTCCCACGTGATAAAACCACGAACATCCTTGCTTTAATCGAGCCAATATTAATTCGTTGATTCGTTAGAATTAAAGTTATATACAGTAATACGAGAAAGAGGATATTGTTTAGTCCCTTTACTTGGCTGCAATTTAGAGGTGAATTTCTTTCGAAGTTGAATGACTGGATCACTTTCGGGAAATATTCAGCAAGAAGAAAAATCTTATGTAACTTACAAGATTGGAAATTGGATCTTTGGTAACGACTCACTGAACGATTCTTTCAAAATAATCTTGGCAAGAAATAAAAAAAAGAAAACTGGCCTGGCGAAACGGAAAAATGAATGTCGAGTCGAGTTACGAAATTATATATATATATATATATATATATATATGCGGGTATATTGTACAAAAAAAAATAAAAAATCTTTTTCAATCCCTTCGTTTAAAATTTCTTGGAAATTTTCACAATTTATCAAGTATCTGGAACAATAGATTTTCCATTTTCCTTTTCACCGAAACAGCCTGAAACAGAGACGGATCCGTGTGGTTTCCCGACAGGTGTAAGACAGGTAAGACGGGCGAAAGTAGTATTATTAGGGTCGGTTCGCAATACGTAACGAACGTTTCAGTGAAAGGAAAGGTTGATAAGAAAAGCGAGGATCTTTGGCTACCTGGTTCTCGTTACCTGGCTTTCTCGTTTCTTCCTCGACGAGAAGTGTTTATGAACTTGAAACTCTACCGTCTCCTAGCAAAGCCTGCACCGTTGCAATTTCGTCCTCGAACCGGTGTCCCGGCAAAAACGCTCGCTGCCTTAACGCGTTTCACGTTGGGTGACTCATGGCACTCCTCGAACCTGAATTCCAACTCCGAGGAAACTTTTTAGAATTCTAATCTAATCTAATATTTAACTGGATGTATGAAAGTATGGAAACAGGGATTGAAAACTCGCGAGATTTATTCGAGATTGCATTTTCATACTCGTTTCAAATCAATTGGAAACGGAATAAGATCGAATGTAACAAAAGGCGTGTCGAGTAAAAAAAAGGAAAAAAATCATGCGATTCGTTCGTAAAGGAAAACACATCAGCGGGAAACAATTGCATCACGTTCACAACAAAAGAATCACTTTAAGAGCATTACACATATTAGAACTCGCGCCATCGGCTAAAAAAGGATCGAACTTCACCTCCACGTCCGCCGTCCACGTGGGAGCAAGGTGACTGTCGCGCGGCGAAAGGCCGTTAAGAGGTTCTGATCGATTCGAGATGGACGAAATTCGAGCGCAAACACGAGCTCTAAACAGTTTTTCGAGTATGCGAATTAGAGTGGCCGACCTTGATGTCCTCGTGCCTTCTGCGTAAAAATAGACCGGCTGAAAATGCCTCGCGTACGGTTAACGTGCTCCGACTTGGAAAGAAACGGGCCGAAAACGACAGAGAGAGAGAGAGAGAGAGAG